CTGAGCCCATAAGAGATGGTAAACTGAATGGACAAATGTGTATGTTCTCACTAGTTCCCCTACTGACAATTCCTGTCTGTCCCTCTCCTTGGGCCACTGTATTCCCTGAGACCCAACAATATTGAAATTAGGACAATTAATATCCCTACATTGGCCTCTGAGTGTTCAAGTAAAGGAAGTGTTGCATATTTCTCACTTCAAATAAAAAACTAGGAAAGATTAAACTTAGTGAGGAAGTCATGTTGAAAGCTAAAAATGGCTAAAAGTTATGCCAGTAGTGCCACACAGTTGGTTAAGCTGTGAATGCAAAGGAAAAGTTTTTGAAGGAAGTTAAAAGTTCTATCCCAGTAAGCGTATGAATGATAAGAAAGCAAAACAGCCTTATTGGTGATACGGGCAAAGCTTTCATGGTCTGGATAGATTAAACCAGCCACAACATTCTCTTAAGGCAAAACCTGATCCAGAGCAAAATGCTAACTGTCTTCAATTCTAGGAAAGCTGAGAGAGATGAGGAAGCTGCAGAAGAAAAGTTAAAAGCTAGCAAAGGCTGGTTGGTGAGGTTTAAGGAAAGAAGCCATCTTCATGACATGAAAGTGCAAAGTGAAGCATCAAGTGCTGATGTAGAAGCTGCAGCAAGTTATCCAGAAGGTCTGCTAAGATCGGTGACATAGGTGAATACACAAAACAACACATTTTTCATGTAGATTAAATTGTCTTCTATTGGCTGAAGATGCCACATAGGAATTTCACAACTAGAGAGGGGATGCCTAGCTTCAAAGGACAGCCCGACTCTCTTGTTAAGGCATAATGCAGCTGGTGACTTGAAGTCATGTCTGTTTACCATTCCAAGAATCCTAGGGCCCTTAGGACTTATACTAAATCTACCCTGCCTGTGCTTTATAAATTGGACAACAAAGCTTGGATGACAGCACATCAGTGTTTATAGCATGGTTTACTGAATATATTAAGTTCAACGTTAAGACCTACTGCTCATTAAACAAGATTCTTTTCAAATTATTACTGCTCATTGACATTGCCACTGGATCACCCAAGAGGCCTGATAGCAATGTTCATCATGCCTTCTCTATTAAACTGTTCTTGCATTACTGTAAGTAAATACCTGAGACTAGGTAATATATAAAGAAAAGAGGTTTAATTGGCTCATGGTTCTGCAAGCTGTACAGGAAATAGTGCTGGCATTGGCTTCTTGGGAGGTCTCAGAGAACTTTAACTCATGACAGAAGGCAAAGCAGGAGCAGGCACATCACATAGCAAAAGCAGAAGGAAGAAAAAGAAAGAGGAGGGGTGAAGGTGCCACACACTTTTAAATGACCGGATTTGTGAGAACTATCATGGAGACAGCACCAAGCCATGAGGGTTCTGCCCCCATGATCCAAACACCTTCCAGCAGGCCCCACCTCCAGCATTGAGGATTACAGTTCAGCATGAAATTTGGGCTGGGACAAATATCCAGACTGTAGCACCTTCTAACACAGCATCCACCCTCTATCCTCTCTATCCCATCAATCAAGGTTGGAAGGCTCTGATTGCCATAGATAGTGATTCCTCTGATGGATCTAGGAAAAGTGGATTGAAAATCTTCTGGAAAATATTCACCATTCTAGATGCCATTAAGAAGATTTGTGATTTATGAGAGGAGGTCAAAGTATCATCATTAATAAGAGTTTGGAAGAAGGTGATTCCACCCCTCATGGATGACTTTGAAGGGTTCAAGACGTCAGTGGAGGAAGTCACTGTAGATGTGACATCAGCTAGAGAACTAGATTTAGAAGAAAAACCTGAAGATGTGACTGAAACGGCTGCATGATAAAACTTGAATGGATGAAGAGTAACTTCTTAGGGAAGAGCAAAGAGAGTGGTTTCTTGAAATGGAATCTCCTCCTGGGGGAAGATACTGTGAACATTGTTGAAATGACAACAAAGGATTTAGAATATTACATACACTTAGTTGATAAAACAGCAGCAAGGTTTGAGAGGACTGACACCAATTTTGGAAGCAGTTCTACTGTGAGTAAAATGCTATCAAACAACATTGCATGCTACAGAGAAATATCTCATGAAAGGTTGAGTCAGTTGATATGGCAAACTTTACTGTTGACTAATTTTAAGAAATTGCCACCTTGACCTTAGGCATCCACCTTGCTGATTAGTCAGCAACCATCAACATCAAGGCAAAACTCTCTACCAGCAAAACGTTTAACTCAAGGCTCAGATGATTATAAGCATTTTTTATCAATAAAGTATATTTAATAAAGGTATGTATATTGTCTTAGATATAGTGTTATTGCACACTTAATAGACTACAGTGTAGTGCAAATATAATTGTTATATATTTTAGAGACAGGGCCTCACTGTTTCCCTGGGTGGAGTGCAGTGGCATGATCATGGCTCACTGCAGCCTCAAACTTCTGTGTTCAAGCAATCCACCCACTTCAGCCTCCTGAGTAGCAGGGACTACAGGCACACTCCACCATGCCTGGCTAATTTTTATTTTATTTTTTTGTAGAGACAGGATCTCACTATGTTACCCAGGCTGGTCTTGAACTCCTAGCCTCAAGCAGTCCTCCTGCCTCAGCCACCCAAAGTACTGGGATTACAGGCGTGAGCCACCATGCCTGTCCTAAACATAACTTTCGTATGCACTAAGAAACCAAAGCATTAGTATGACTTGCTTTATTTGCTCTACTGCAGTGGTCTGGAACCAAACCTGCAGTATCTCTGAGGTACACCTGTAAAGTAAAGCATGAAGGAAAAGCATAAAGTTTGATTTTTCACATTTGTATTTCTCTGCCACATCCAGGGGTCCAAGTTTTTAGTTGTTAGAAAATGCTTTTGAAAAGGAAAAAATGGGAGATAAGAAGGAGAGAAAGAAGAAAGAAGAGCCTTGAATCAGAGGAAATGCACCTGTTCTTTTTTCGGGCTAGGTTTAAGTTTCATAATTAGCAAATTACTAACACAGCCAAGTGCTTTCCGATCTAATGCATCTTGGACTGAGACATGATTTAGCAGTGTTAATTCCTTGTAGTAAGGGATAGACTTTCCTGTTTTGTTTTGTTTTGTTTTTCATTTGGAAAGAATGGAATACTCTTCATGTCCACAGAGTGATCCTAGCTTGTATCAGAAAGAAAGGTAAGATTGTGACGTATAAGGGTCAATGTAAAGGGCTAGCAGGTTAGCAGAGAACATATGAAATGTTCAGGCTTTATGTGCTCATCATGGATAGCTGTTTAAGCTACCTCAAACTCACAGACTTCCATTACAGGTGATCGTGGGTTGTAGATTTGTTGTTCTTGAGAAACTGTAGAACTCCAGTCAGAACTTGATTGCAGAGAAAGTTTGGAACTCTTGTTTGGGAGGTATCCTCTGTCTCAAAAAGCCTATTGGGAATAATTATGATCCTAATGATTACCACTCACATTTTTGGTCTCTGTTATTTTGGAGCATTAAACAATGGGAAATATCCTTCTAAATCTTATGGGACTCCAGGCATACGGGCAAGGAAAAATGAGGGAATTTAACTAACTTTGTTAGACTTATTTGCTGCTGAGAGAGAAATTCTGTGAATTTACTTCCTTTGTGCTTAACTTTAGGAAATTTTATAAAGAAATCTGGACTGGTTGGTTGTTTTCTAAAATATATCTGGTCAAAAAACTGCAGTACTTTTCTTGGGTCTGAAATCCAACCTCTTCTTTTCTTCCAAGATTATTGTATAGAGTGAACATTTTAAGTTATCTGAAGTTATTTAAATTCGTGGAAGTCATCATGTAAAGAGGAAATAGTCCTGGATATTTAAAAAAAAATAGAAATTGTTCTTATTGCACTTTTGCAATGTTTTTAGGGCGAGATTTGTCTAGTATTTATCTAGTTTTCAAGAATGAAAAAGAAACTTATTTCCTTGGGAGAGCTATGTATTGAGATATTTTGTATTTGTTGTTCCCTAATCCTCTTTATTAAAAGATTAAAGAATAGTTGAATAGATGAAATAAATATTTAGAGAAGACAAAAAGACTAAAATCTGAATAATAATCTTTGAGAAGAGTTGGGCTTCCTTTCCACAGAGCATGTCTAAGTGGTCACCATTGCTTACCCTTTGCTCAGATGGTCAGAAACATGGATTAGAGCTTGATTCTATTTTCATCAGATTCTTCCACCAGGGCAGTAGAGGATCATGGAGTGGAAATGTTATGGCTGCGTAGTAGTCACTTCTTTGTTTCTTCCTTTCTCTCTCTGTCTCTCTCTCTTTCTTTATCACTCTCTCTTTCTCTCTCTCTCTCTCTGTCTCAGATATGTAGCAGTCACTTTCTCTCTCTCCCTCTCTCTGTGTGTGTGTGTGTGTGTGTGTGTGTGTGTGTGTGTACTTTCAAAAATTATATACACAGTATTTCATTTCGTGTTGGGAGGCAGTTTTCTTTTGCATTTCTGCGCATCTTGTGAACAGAGGCACTGTATTTTTGGACACTCTTTTCAAGGATGTTTGCATCGCAAACCTTGAATGTTAGTGTCTCCCTCTAGAACAAAGGACAGATTTGCTTATTCTTCTGCATAATAAAAATGTCTCCCTCAGGAACAAGGGCAAGCATATTTATAAAAGATTCAAGTTTCCTGAGCTTAGAGTCCCTTTCCTGTAATGCAGCACATTGAGTGAGCAGATATTACCTGGCCCTCTTCACATAGCTCTCTTGGGAATTATAGTTCAGTGAACTGATACAAATGTTAATATTCTGACTACTGCTATTGATGTGATTGCTAACCTCTCCTTTGTCTCTGACCTGGGAGTCTCATGTTATCTTCAGGACACATGAAAGTGGCAGGTTTTTTGCTTGCTTGAAATCTTAGACCCTTTACAGCTCTTGATACTTTGAAATAACAGTGATAATGGAATATACTTGGAATATATATTGGAATATATTACTGAAACTTATAGGCTTTACAATTTTTAAGAAGTTCATTTAGGATATTATTTCTGCTCGCTTTGATATAGGTTTTGTTTATAATGTCAGCCCTTATATGGAGTATCATCCTGGTGGAGAAGATGAACTAATGAGAGCAGCAGGATCAGATGGCACTGAACTTTTTGATCAGGTAAGATGTGCTGAAAGTAACCAAAGTATTCCAGTGGAAGAGTACTCTTAGATTTACCAGTGTGACATTTGTAGAAAGAAAGAAAATAGTTTCATAAATTCCAGATGTGTTGGCTTGAATTTTGAAGTGTGGGAAGATGCTCACAGGTAGCAGTTGTTCATTTAATTTGCCTTTGAGTTATTAAAATTTTAGAGATGTTTCACATCTGTGTCTAGGGGTCTTAAGTGTTTGCTGCCTCCTTTGTTGGTAAGTATTTCTTTAGTCTTGATTAGTTTTCATCATGATTGGCTTGAGGGGGGTAGTGACAGTTGTAAGAAGGAACATTGGGATCCACTGGTAACTTGCTGAATCACTTTAAGTCACTTAGCTTCTTTTATTTTAGTCCTTTGTCACCTAGGGATTGCTATATATTCAGCCTACTGCTCTATACTGAATTTGCATTTATGTAGAGTTTGCTGAGGCTGATTAATGAATAGAAACTTATTTTTCCTAGCATGATAGCAGAGATTCTGTGTAGGTTATCTCAAAAGGTATGTAAATTAGTCACTTTTCCTCTTATATTTATTAAAAACTAGCATTATCTCTTAAACTATTTAAAAGTTATACAGAATGTTGATTACTATCAGTTTGCTGAGCTGTTATTCTGAGACAACAATCTTTAGAAAGATAGAAATTTGCCTTTGTCTCATATATGCTTTATTTTGTATTTTAATGATGATTAACCAGGTTATAATATTGGATTTTTATCATTTCAAGATACCTGAATCAGGTTGGGTTATATTATAGCTGTTTTTTGATCAAATATAATTTGATTTCTTTCCTTCCTTCCTTCTCATCCATTTTAGAATTTGATTTTTTTGACCATGTTGCCAGAAATAGAATTTGTTTTATATAGTTGACCTTTGAACAATGTAGGCGTTGGGATGCTAACACCCTCACTCTCCCATGCAGTAGAAACTTCATGTGTAACTTTTGACTCACCAAAAACTTAACTACTAACAGCCTCCTGTTGAACAGAAGCCTTGCTTATCACATCAACAGTCAATTAACATATATATATGCATGCTATATGCTTTATATACGATATTCTTACAATAAAGTAAGCTAGAGAAAAGAAAATGCTGTTAAGAAAAATCATAAGGACGAGAAAATACATTTACTATTCCTTAAGTGGAAATGGATTGTTATAAAGGTCTTCATCCTCATCTTCATCTTGAGTAGGCTGAGGAGGAGGAAGGGAAATGGTGGGCGGGGGACAGGGGGGTGGTTGGTCTTTCTGTCCTGAGGTGTCAGAGGACTTGTGCAGTTCAAACCTGTGTTGTTTAAGGGCCCACTGTGTTTGAGAGCACTTAATTGCATTTGCTTAAATGGCAGGATCTAATTTGCTGTTAATGTTCTTCCTGGGCTGGAGAAGTCATGTTTGCTCATTGATCATAACAGCATTCTCTTTGGAAGGTTTTTATTGCTGTTGCAAGGCAAGTTCCCGTTGGCCTTTGCTATTTGTTTTCTGTCTGTCTGCCTGCCTATCTATCTATGAGACAGAGTCTCGCTCAGTCCCCCAGGCTAGAGTGCAGTGACATGATCTTGCCTCACTGCAACCTGTGCCTCCCAGGTTCAAACAATTCTTGTGCCTCAGTCTCCTGAGTAGCTGAGATTACAGGATTGTGCCACCATGCCTGGCTAATTTTGTATTTTTAGTTCTCTACTAAAAATGGGGTTTCGTCATGTTTGCCAGGCTGGTCTCAAACTCCTGGCCTCAAGTAATCTGCCTGCCTCAGCATCCCAAAGTGCTGGAATTATAGGCTTGATCCACCATGCCTGGCCTGGTATTTGTTATCTAGCAATGCAAGCCAAATAGAAAGGTTTAGGAACATTTGCCTAAAAACTTGTCGGCTATACTTTTCCCTTGAATATGCCTCGTAACCTCTTAATGTTGAAGGTACTGTGCCACAGGAAGAATTTCCAATAAAGACTAGTCTTACTTCTGTTCCTGAGTGTTAAGAAGTTATACAGACCTTATTTATGGAAAGCTTGTTTTGGAGAATTCACAAGAAGTGCTATATTGTTAAGTTTTCTAGCATTTAAAAGAATATTTACTAGATTGCTAGATTTAAAGCAATTAGATTGCAACCCCCTTGGCTTTAATAAGACCAGGGATGTTTAGATTATTTATGACTTGCTCACCACAGAAGTAAACTAGAAACTACAATGACACTTGCATTTTTCAATATGAGAATTTACTTGTGCCCAGTATTTTAGCTGCTCAAATGATAGTAAATAATCTCTTTATTGTCCTATTTCTGTTCTTATACCACTGCTGATCTCTTAAATTGCATTTCCAAATACCTGATGGGCAATTTGATGCCCTGTACTTCAGCTCATTATGCCCTAAAATAATAATACCAAGTCATTTTCTTTCCTCTTTTTTTTTTTTTTTTTTTTTTGTGTTTTTTTTTTTTTTTTTTTTTTTTTTTTTTTTTTCTGTTTCCTGTTTTTTGTAATGGGAACTTGAAGCCCTGAGTAATGTTTTTCATCTCTTATTGTGCCCTAGTCCAATCACTGGCCGCATCCTATGATCCATCTTTAAACATTACACCTTTTTCTGTCTTCCCACTGCCTTAGTTCACCCTCTGTAGCTGTATTCTTTTAATACTATCTTGATATCTTTACCTTCAGTACCAATTTAGGTAACATGACAGCTAGATTAGCTTTCTTAAAGGCAATCATCTTAGCACCTTGCTCTGCAGTTGTCAGTGGCTCACCACTGACAGGGAAGTAAATTTACAGTCATTAACCTGGCATTTGCAGTCCTCAAAGAATATATCAGGGTAAATATTCCTAACATGGATCTTGATTTGCACCCTTCCCTGCCTCTGATATCTATCATTCTGTT